AATGAAAACGAAAAGTGTAAAATGAAAGAAGAGAATGAATGAAAAAGAAAAAGAGTAAAAAGAAAGAAGAGAATTAATGAAAAAGAATAGAGGAAAAGAAAGAAGAGAATGAATGAAAAAGAAAAAGAGTAAAATGAAAGAAGAGAATGAATGAAAAAAAGGAAAAAGAGAAAGAAGACTGAATGAAAAAGAAAAAGAGTAAAATGAAAGAAGAGAATGAATGAAAAAGAAAAAGTAAAAAAAGAAAGAAGAAAATGAATGAAAAAAGAAAAGAAAAAAATGAAAGAAGAGAATGAAAAAAAAAAGGAAAAAAGAAAGAAGACTGAATGAAAAAGAAAAGAGTAAAAATGAAAGAAGAGAATGAATGAAAAAAAAAAAAGAGTAAAAAGAAAGACGAAAATGAATGAAAAAGAATAGTGGAAAAGAAAGAAGAGAATAGATGAAAATTATATCGAAATACAATACTAAATAACAAAAGAAATATATTTTTAGAATGACATTCACTTTGTACAAGCCGCAAGAGCCACTCGAGGTAGAGGATTACAGCGTAAATGACACCCGCCCCAAGCAAGTTGACAACGATGCCAAGACGCAAGGGGCCACCGGAAGTGAAAGAGAAGGAAAAGACATTAGAAAGTACCGGAAAACCAATCCTAAACAGGAAACAAGGGACAAACTTCTACTCCTGTTCAAAAGATTAGGGAGGAGTGTGAACCGGGTGATAGGCGAAAGTATCAACTCCTATTGAGAAGAAGAAAAATAAATAATTACCAAATAAAATTTCAGGGTTCAGGCGAAGACGCTATAAGTAAGAAGTGGAAGTAGACTTTGGAAAGAACCGGAAACTTAATCCGAGACAGGGGACGATGGGAACGCGAATGAATAATGTCAATGAAAGAAATCCTGAAAGAACAACGAAAAGCCTTTATAAAAAGAAATTTAAAAAAATTAAATTTAATTAAGATAAAAAAGAAAGATAAAAGATAAAGAACGAAGGAAGAAGTTGGAAAAAATATATAAAAATGAAAAAAGGAAAGCGAATGGAGACGAAAGAAGTAAACAAAATGGAGAAAGAAAAAATGACGAGACAAAGAAATGGAATAAAGAAAGAAAGAGAACAAAAGATCAAAGGAAGAAGTATAAAAATGAGAGAGAAGGTAAAAACAAAGAGAAAGAGATACAGAGAGAGGAGAGAGGGAGACGCTGTTGTATAAAGACAGACGAATAATTATAAAAAGAAAATAAAAGGAAAAAAAAGATGAAAACAGGTAAAAAAGAAAGAAATAAACAAAAGAAAAAACGACGGAGAATGATAAAAAAAGAAAGAAAAGGAGACAAAAAAAAGACGAAAGAATGTAAAAATAAAGAAAGAAAAAAAAAAAGGATATATATATATATATATATATAAATAAATAAAACAAACCACTTTAAGGTTCCATGTAATAAATTATTGCACCACACCCTTTATATATATATATATATTATATATATATATATATATATAGGTTCCATATTTATAAATTATTATATATTTATATATAAATTATTATATATATATATATATATATATATATATAAATTATATATATATTATATATAATATATATATATATAATATATATATATATATATATATTATATATATATATATATATATATATATATATATATATATATATATATATATATATATATATATATATATATAGAGAGAGAGAGAGGGGGAAGAGAAGCTGTGGAGAAAAGACAGACAAAAGAAAGGTCAAAAAAAAAATAAAAGACAAGACAAAGAAATAAACCAAAAAGACCGACGAAGAATGATAAAAAAAAAAAAAAAGGAGGAAAAAAGAAGACGAAGGAAAAAAATGAAGAAGAAAGGAGATTGATATATATATATATATATATATATATATATATATATATATAGAGAGAGAGAGAGAGAGAGAGGGGAGAGGGGAGAGGGGGGGAGGGGGGAGAGGGGGGGGAGGGGGGGAGGGGGGGGGGGGGGGGAGAAGCCGCAGAGAAAAGACAGATATAGAGAGGTAAAAAGATAAAAAGAAAAAGACAAAACAAAGAAAGCTAAAAAGAAAGAAATAAAAAAAAAAAATGACGAAGAATGATAAAAAAAAAGAAGAAAATGAGACAATGAAAACGAAAGAATGTAAAAATAAATAAGGAAAAACAAAGAAAGAAAGGAAGAGTGATATATATATATATATATATATATATATAGAGAGAGAGAGAGAGAGAGAGGGGGGAAGAGAAGCTGTGGAGAAAAGAAAGACAAAGAAAGGTAAAAAGAAAAAGAAAAAGACAAAGAAAGGTAAAAAGAAATAAATAAATAAAAAAAACGATGAAGAATGATAAGAAAACATAAAACATCGAGAGAGATAAAATGAAAAGTAAAAAGAGCGAGAGAAAGAAAGAAAGACATAATAGGAAAAAAAAACGACGATGAAAGAAAAATAAATAAATAAAGTGAGAAAGAAAAAATATGACGAAGGGTGGTAAAAAAAAAAAGTACAAACAAAGAAGCCCAGGCGAAGAAAAACGAAAATAAAAGAAAGAACAAAACAAAACAAAAAAATAAAATAAAATAAAATAAAAACGAAGAACAAATAGATAAAGAAGCCAAAGGCAAGCAAAAACGAATTAAGAAAAATAAAACTATTTTTATCATATTGAGGTTTATACTTTGATATAAATGTTTCTTGACTTACTTTAATAGAAAATTGAAGAAATCATCTAATCCGGCACCATTTAGAGGTTATAGCGCAGCCTTCTGTTAACAGATGGCCGAATTAATTCTTATCGACACTTACAAACTGGAAGGCAATAAAATGGAGAACTGCTCTAGGCCAACTCTTACAATTCCGTTCATCCGAAAGAAAAAAGAAGAAAAACTCTATATGCAAAAGTAATGGCTTTTAAATCTCCTCTGAAATAATCTGAGATCTTTAAAAGAATTAATAAACATGTAAAAATATAAGTACAAAAAAAGAAAGAAAAAACAATTTTTCTTACCATTTGAATAAGCAAAATTAACAATCTAGGTATTTGAATAATTAAAATTCTATACTTAAGAGAAAATGATTTAAAATCGAAATTTATTGAATAAGTATTAAGCAGTTTTGAAACTTTTGTGAATTTAAGTAAAACGTTTTAAAATCGTATAAAGCTGGCATTTTCGGCGATTTTAGATTTAATTTAAAATGTTTCTACTTCAAAAATAAAACATAGTGGGGGTAGATTTCTTTGTTATTATTGTAAGATAGTATGAACGAATATCTGATAGCTGGAGGCTGACTACTTCGAGCGAACAAGAAGAGCAACATCGATGCCGCCAATGGGTATAAATCCAGTTTCTCGAGCACTCATCACATCCCAATTTTGAAATATATCTATTAATTTAATGGTTTATATACTTTCAAGAGAAACTTATTGCACGATTAAATATTTTGAAAAACTCTTCATTATTTATTTAGTCCTGCATCCAGAGAACATTTCAACCGAACATGAAAAAAAAAATCATTCCACGATACAGAAAAAATATTTAAAGTACTTGAAAAAATATTTTTAATCTAAAAAAAAATATTTAAATACTAATCGAAGTTTGAAAAATAATCAAATACACATAACCATTTTAGTAATAAAGACATCAAATAAAAACATATCCGTGCAAAAACTATATAAAAAAATCTGCTGAAAAGTTCATATTCTGACCAAGATACTCTCATGGAATGTTTGGTTTGGTTCGTTTTACGGCATATCAACACCTCAATGGGTTATTTAATGCCAACCAGATTTTTAGGCTAGGTTCGTATGAATAGAATATGTATTCTTTGTAAGAAATCAGTTTGTAGATCAGGTTTCGTTGAGGTATTTTTGTAAACAGGGTTTTTGTCGAGAGTCTAATTTGGTTTATTTTGTTTTACTGTATATCAACCTCAATGGGTTATTTAATGCCGACAGAATTTTTAAGATAGGTTCGTATGAATAGAATATGTATTCTTTGTAAGAAATCAGTTTGTAGATCAGGTTCCATTGACATATTGTTATAAAGAGGGTTTTTGTCGATTTTGTTTTACGGTTTATCAACACCTCAATGGGTTATTTAATGCCGACAAGATTTTTTAGGATAGGTCCGTATAAATAGAATATGTATTCTTTGTAAGAAACCAGTTTGTAGATCAGTCTCCATGTGACATATTGTTGTAAAGAGGGGTTTTGTCGATATTCTGGTTTGGTTTATTTTGTTTAACGGCATATCAATACCTCAGTGGCGTATTTAATGCCGACAAAATTTTTATTGCTGATAATATATTTTTGTCAAAAATGTATTGCTGGTAATATTTTTTCTTCAAAAATGTATCGATGGTAATTTTTTTTTTTCAAAAATGTATAGCTGATAATATTTTTCTTCAAAAATGTATTTGCTGGTAATAATCAATTCTTCAAAAATTTATTGCTGGTAATAATTTTTTAGAAAGTATTTCTGGTATTAAAACCAATTTTTACGCTCCCATAGTGTTTTTACCCCAGTTTGGGGGTTAACTATTTGCCCATAGCTGGGACTCTAACAGGTGCTACTATTCCGGGTCAGGGGGGACCTGGGAACACCAGCAAATAAAAGGTGGTTCCCTGCTCCTCAATACCGCCTGATCAGACGGCTTGCTGTTGGACGTAGTTTATCGTCTTACCCAGGACGCGGACGTAGTTTATCGTTATACCCAGGACGCGGACGTAGTTTATCGTCATACCCAGGACGCGGACGTAGTTTATCGTCATACCCAGGACGCGGACGTAGTTTATCGTCATACCCAGGACGGCCCATGGAATTTGACCATAGTCCCCTTTGCGGTCCACACACTTCTTCCATCAGTGTCGCTGTGCCGGGATCCATTGAAGAACCTTTCACTTTGTTGGTCAAAGAAGTCATCACAGGAAAACATCATCATCACTGCGATATTGACACCCAGCTAAGTTTTTTTTATTCATGCTGGGGAATAGATAATAGTCCGATCATAGTCAGATGAAGAAAATCATCATCATCATCATCCTTCGACCTCCCTATGGTTGGTCGGAACAATCGCTTTCCATGCTGTTCGGGCCTGTATCACTGACCCCAGATCCCAAATGTCCCACCCTGAGTCCCTAGCTATGGTGTCTGGGAAAGTCAATTTTGAGAAGACACTTCCAGAAGGATTCCATAGGAGTAAGGATGAGACATATATGAGGATATAAATTGTGTCCGCTCAGTCGCAGTAGTCAGCAAACTATAATCGTTTTTATTTGAGCTTAAGAGGGATTGGTCTCAATTCTCTGTAAATTGTGTTAAGCGTTGCCATCTGAACTACATTAAATGCCCCGAAAAAATATAAAACTGCTCTTATTAATAATTGTGATTCAAAGGACTAAATTCATTCCTCATCTAAAATCTTACTGAATTTTTAGTCCCCACCCCCCGACTTTTCAATTTAAAAATAATTCCATTTTGGGAGCGAGATTCCGGCAAATTTGTATGGGTTTGTAAGACAATACGAATATTTTCATGAAACACAATAAAATTTCTCTTTTATTGATTCATATCTCTTCATTATCATCACCGTCTGCATCATCATCCGATGGTCAGAACTCAAATTGACCATCCTTTTCGACACTGTTCCGTCCTGTATTGCTGTCCACAGATCTCCAATGTCTAGCACTGAGCCCCTAGCTATGGTGTCTGGGAAAATCAATTTTCGTGAGAAGATACTTTCAGAAGAATGTCATAGGAATATGGATGAGACGATTTCCTTTATCGGTTCGGTGGCAATGGCCGGCAAACTAATCGTTTTTGTTTGAGCTTAAGAGAGATTAGTCTCAATTCTCCGTAAATTGTGTTAAGCGTTGCATAGGATCTCTAATTGATGTTCTGGATTTT